ATGACTGACAGACATAATTTTCTTAACTTACAACTTGTGTTTGGACCAAGATTTTAAAAACTTTATCGGTGCCAAAAAGAGAAGAGCAAGACTCTTAAAGCTCAAATGTTAACACACTGTTTTTGCATTTATAGTTTAAACTTCCTCCTAGGTCCTCTACTTTAACAGTCTTTCAAGCCAAGAGAAGTTTAAAAAGAAGTAGGTAACCTGGTTTAGCTGTCAACATAACCAAAACATCCCACTGCCAGTGGGCAGCTTAGGTGACACTAGGAACTAGAATCAACTGTGTGTTGGTGGCAGGTGGATGTATTACATATTTCTGGCAGTAGAGGCTTGACTTGAGAGTGCCTCATTAAACAACATGATTGGCCAATCCATACAGTTAACCACTTCCAAAAAGGCACTGATTCATGTTTCTCAGGTTATTGCTTCAGTCCTGACAGCATAACACCGCCTCAGACAGGAATGTAAACAAGTTCCATACCCAAACGCTGAACTTTCATTGATTTATAGAGGAAACAAGTGACTTGTTTCTGAAAGTTATCACTTCTGAAGTTAGGATGTGTATCTATCGGAAACAACATACTGGCAACTAGATTCAAGAACATGTAACATCGCATGGTACTAGACAGTTAAACAGGAGCTGGTAGAGAGCAGCTCCACCCGTACAAGCTGTCTATTCCTCACGTGAAGTCAATCTTCTGTATGACATTTGTCAATATTAACATCAGAGTTTTATGATTTCATTTCAAAATAAGACCACAGATACAATACTGCAGTTTACACATTGAGTTTATGAATGAAACACTGAGCATTTAACTTACAGAAACATTCAAGAAACTTTTGTGCTTGCTCATTCTGTGAAATTCAGAACCAAGAATGAGGAAGCATCTTTCCTTTGAACTCAGAAACACGTGTTGGCCGCAACAGAATTTCTTTTTTGAAAGACTTTACTGCATCAGTCCCTGACACTGTCACTTTTCTTATAAAAACTGAAGTTTCCTCAGCTTGGCAGAATGCAGGGGGATACGACGTTGCACAACTGCAACTCTCATTCTCATGGAAGCCCAGGTTCATGATGAGTACTCAATACGCTGGACCTATTGCACCTGTTTCATAGATTACAAAGCCAGAAGGGACCACCCTAATCACCTAATCTGACCTCCTGTATAACACAGCATCATAAATATAAAGGGAAGGCTAACCACCTTTAAATCCCTTCAGGCCAGAAGAAAAAACCCTTTCACCTGTAAAGGGTTAAGAAGCTAAAGATAACCTTGCTGGCACCTGACCAAAATGACCAATGAGGAGACAAGATACTTTCAAAGCTGGAGGGGGGAGAAACAAAGGGTTCTCTCTGTCTGTGTGTTGCTTTTGCCAGGACCAGAGCAGGAATGCAGGTCAGAACTCCTGTAAAGGGCTAATAAGTAATCTAGTTAGATATGCGTTAGATTCTGTTTTGTTTAAATGGCTGATAAAATAAGTTGTGCTGAATGGAATGTATATTCCTGTTTTTGTCTCTTTTTGTAACTTAAGGTTTGGCCGTGAGGGATTCTCTATGTTTTGAATCAGATTACCCTGTAAGGTATTTACCATCCTGATTTTACAGAGGTGATTCTTTTACTTTTTCTTCAATTAAAATTCTTCTTTTAAGAACCTGATTGCTTTTCATTGTTCTTAAGATCCAAGGGTTTGGGTCTGTGCTCACCTAAGCAAATTGGTGACTATTTTTATCAAGCCTTCCCCAGGAAAGGGGGTGTAGGTTTGGGAGGATTTTGGGGGGAAAGACGTTTTCAAGCGGGCTCTTTCCCTGTTAGACGCTTGGTGGTGGCAGCAATAAAGTCCAGGGGCAAAAGGTAAAATAGTTTGTACCTTGGGGAAGTTTTAACCTAAGCTGGTAAAAATAAGCTTAGAGGGGTTTTCATGCAGGTCCCCACATCTGTACCCTAGAGTTCAGAGTGGGGAAGGAACCTTGACAACAGGCCAGAGAAGTTCCCAAAATAATTCCTAGAGCAGAAATTTTAGGAAAAAAACCAGCAAAAAATTAGCAGTGACAATGGAGAATCCACCAGGACCCTTGGTAATACATTTCAATGCTTAATTACTCTCAGGCCATGTCTACACTACTACTTTTGTTGGTATAAGTTATGTCACTCAGAGGTGTGAAAAAACACTGCCCTGAGCAACATAAATTAAACTGACAGAAGCGCTGGTGTGGTCAGCACTATGTTGGCGGAAAAGCTTCTCCCACCAACACAGCTACCGCCACTCGTGGGGTGGTCTTATTGTGTCGACGGGAGAACTCTCTCCAGCCAGCAGAAAGCAGCTACTTGAGCAATCTTACAGTGGCACAGCAGCATTGGTACACCTGTGCCACTGTAAGCTTGCTAGTGTAGACATGGCCTCACTGTTAAAAATGTATACCTTACTACCAGTCTGAATTTGTCTAGCTTCAACTTCCAGCCATTGGATCGTGTTAGACCGTTCTCTGCTAGACTGAAGAGCCCACCATTAAATATTTGTTCCCCGCATAGATATTTATAGATGGTAATCAAGTCACCCTTTAAACTTCTTTGTTAATCAAAACAGACTGAACTCCTTGAGTATTACTATAAGGCATGTTTTCTAATCCTTTAGTTACTCTCACATCTCTTCTCTGACCCCTCTCCAATTTATCAACATCCCTCTTGAATTGAGGACACCAGTCCTGGGCACAGTATTACAGCAGCAGTCAAACCAATGCCATATACAGAAGTAAAATAACCTCTCTACTCCTACTACTGTTCAGGAGATACAGTTCTACAATGGTTTGCCTACACACAAAAGTTGTACCAATTTAACTATACTGGTATAGCCTGCACAGAGTTATACCGGGGTTTTCAAACTTCATTGAACTGTGACCCTCTTCTGACAACAAAAATTACTACATGACCCCAGAAGCAGGGACCAAAGCCTGAGTCTGCCCAAACCCTGCCACCCCAGGTGGGGGACCAAAGTCAAAGTCCGAGTCCCACTATCCCAGGGGCCAAAGCAGAAGTTCAATGGCTTCAGCGGGGGTGGGCTGTAACCTGAGCCCTGCTACTCAGGGCTGATGCCAAAGCCTGAGTCACACAGCCTAGGCTGAAGCCCTTGGGGTGGGCCCCAGGCAGTGGGGCTCAGGCTTCGATCCTGGGCAGTGGGGCTCAGGCTTCAGCCCCGGGCCCCAGCATGTCTAACACCAGCCCTGGTGACCCATTAAAATGGGGTCCCAACCCCCAGTTTGAGAACCACTAAATTATACCCATATGTTGGTGCTTATACTTACTCCCATAAAAGAAGGGGAATAATGTACCCCAGCATAAGGCATCCTTACAACTGCATCAGCACACTTGGAGTTGTACGGATATAATTATTTAAATTACAAAAATTACCCCCCAAAGGGGGGGGAGGGATAGCTCAGTGGTTTGAGCATTGGCCTGCTACACCCAGGATTGTGAGTTCAATCCTTGAGGGGGCCATTTAGGGATGTGGGGCAAAAATTGGGGATTGGTCCTGCTTTGAGCAGGGGGTTGGACTAGATGACCCCCCGAGGTCCCTTCCAACCCGGATAGTCTATGATAACAGAATAGTTATACTGGTTTAAAAACTGTTTAGACAGTCCCAGGGTCTCATGATTAAATATCACCTGTGTGGTCTTTTCACAGGTACAAAGAGTGCAGGGTCTTTTCTAAGCAAAAGAGTTGCATCAGTTTCAGTTAAAGTATTCTTTTTAAGCCAGTAGAAATTCCTGTATATCCATTCTTGTAGCTGTTTAAGAGTGGACGATTTGGGTTTAAACTCAGTAAGAGTGCCTACGCAGCCTCTCTTACGTTTTAAAAAAAGAGTCCGTTCAACTCAAACCTTCAATTAAACCAGTGCAACTTTCTCGTTTAATCAACCTCTAAGAGAAAGTTGGGGAAGATCAAATCCGCTAATCAAAACCACGTGCTCAATTTGTTAGGTAGTTCAGCGATATCAACTGGAACAGGCAATTACTCCCCGGGGAACATCCTGAAAGATGCACCTTGGGCCTTAAACTATGCTGCTCTGGGCGCTCGGCGAGGGGGTGTGTTGCCTGCTCCCTGCTTGCCCCCCAAAATGCTTCCCGGCCTCCCCGCTCCGAGCCGCCCCACGTACCCGCCACCGGCTCTCGCCAGCCAGTGCTCGGAGTTCACACCACGAAGGGCCGCCCCGGGACTCCCCGGGCCCAACGCCCCCCGGGGCGGCTGCCCGCCCGGGGCGCAGCGTGGGGCTCCCCCGGGGGCGAAGGCCGCGGCCGGAGGGCGGCTGCCCTGGCGAGAGCCCCCCGGCCAGGGGCCCAGCCCCGCGGGACAAGGCCCGGGCCCCACCCCCGGCAGCGCGCTCCGGGCCCCGCCACTCACCGGGCTCCAGCAGATGAGCGGGTCGGTGTCGGGATCCTCCACCAGGGTCCACAGCTTGGTGAGGAAGGCGGGGACGTTGCCGCTGCCGCCGCCGCCGCCGCCGGGGCCCGCGCCCACCCCAGCCGCCCCCAGGCCCTCCATCCCCGCGGGGCCGGGGCTCAGCGCGCGGGGCCCGGCCGCGGGCCCACGAGAGGCCGGGGCTCGCCGGGGCCCAGGAGCGCCGCAGGGGGCCGCGGGGCCCAGCCGCCGAGACAGAGGCGAGGGGCCCGGCTCGCCGAGGGTCGCTAGCGCCGCCTCCCGCCGCGGCGGGGCCCGGCCGCGGCCTGCGCACGGAACCCCCCGGAGCCCAGCATGGCCGCCGCCATCTTGGGACGCCTCACGGTGGCGGCCAAGCCCCCTTCTGAGCCAGCGGGGCGCATGCGCAGCCCACCCCACTGTCTCCCCCCCCTCCCCGACAGGCCCCGAGCTCTGCGCTTGCGCTCTCTGCCTCGTGCGCTCTTCCCCCATCCGAAGCACGGGCTGGAGTGGGGCGCATGCGCACGGAGCGCCCAGGTAAATGCGCGGGGGGGTTGGGAATGATAGAAAGCGCATGCGCTAGAGCCACTGGCTCCTCTGACCTTTGACCCCTTGACCCCAGTCCACTTGGGACCGGAACGCTTATCCCAGCCGTGCGGTGCAGAACGGCCTGTCCCGGGATAGGCCGCGCCCCTGGGGAGGAACCGGGAAATATTCCCGAGAACCGCGCGAGGGGGCGGAGCACCGTGACCTCTGACCCGCGCACGTGGGGCGAGGAGGCGGAGCAGCGCGGCGCACGCGGGACTCGTGGAGCCGCCGCTGGAGGAGCTGCCCTGCCGGGAAGGAGCCATGGAGCGGGCGGGGGGGAGCCGCCGGGTGAGGCGGGGCCCGTGGCGGGGCGGGGGGAGGGGAGCGGGCGCAGGGGCCCCGGGGCGGGGGGGGGGGGTCAGTGTGTGTTTGGGTCGGGGATCGCGTTCTGCTCCCAGTCATGCCAGCATGTGCTCGGCGCTGCACACCCCCCCCCTCGCTCCGGCCCCTGCCCTTGAGCCAGGTCTCTTCCTTCCTGAGCGTCCCAGTCTATTTCCTGGGACCAGGTGAGGGGGCCTGCAGCCCGTAGCTGGGGGATGGGGAGAGATTCCTAGACCCATCGCTGAAGCCGGACATACAAAGGCAGCTCTCTCTCCGGGGCTGGGACCTTTTCGGTCTCTCCGTGTCTGTTGTGTACACGCTCCCCTTTTTCTGTTTTCAAGGTGGGGAGCGAGAATTTTCTGCTGAATGTCATTGAAAAGCTGAGTAACTCTCCCTTGTAACTTTAGGGAGACCTGTTTGTCCTCGCTGGTGCTTATGAGAGTTACAGGATTGCGCAACTTCAGGCGGGACAGTGTGGGGTGTTTGCGATGCACTGCTGAGAGTGGCTGTTGCTTCCCCCCCTTCATTAGTAGAATTAGCAGCACATCGGTGTGGAAACTGATGTTTATCCTGGGTTTCAGAGGTAACCGCTTAGGGTGGTACTTTGCAGTAAGCGAGGCTAGCTCACAGTTCCCATATTACAAAATCCAGCGTTGCTTGAACTCCCTTTACTGCCCTAGCTGCACAGGGGTGGTGCTGGGACCAGTGACTGGCTCATGGGCTATGAAAGGCTTTTATCTGAGGGTGGGGATGTGTATGTGAAGGGACCCTCTGGGAGGACGTTTCTGAGGGGAATCAGTGGGAGGCAGGTCCACAGGAGACCCAGAGGTAGGGAATTGGCCACTCCTGGGCAAACAATAGGCAGCACTGAGTGGCTGAAAGTTTCCAAAAGAGGGGTCACTAGAGCCCAGAGGGAGGCAATGCAAAGGGTAGATTCCAGGAGCCAGAGCTGGGATTGGAAAATGGTTCAGTGGCAAAGCTGTGCCCTAGCTAGGAAAATAAATACATTAGGTGCAACAGAAAGATGAAGGCAAGTGTAGGCCCACTACTTAGTGGAGAATAACAGCTAATAACGAGCAGCACCAAGAAGGCTGAGGTGTTTAATTCCTACTTTGGTTCAGGTTTCAGAGGAACAGCCGTGTTAGTCTGTGCTCACTTAATTCCTAATTGGTTATCTTTTTTGGTTCAGTCTTCACTAAACAGGTTAATAGTGCCCGAATGGTTAACACAATATTAATAACAAGGGGGGGGGAACACAGCCATAATGGCTGGGGGGTGGGGAGGGAAGGACAGGTTAAAAGATATCTAAATAAGCTAGATGTATTCAAGTTAGCAGGATCTGACATTATTTGCCCTAGGGTGCTTAAAGAACCAGCTGAAAATCTGGATCCATTCGTGGTCCTCTTTAAGAGCTCATGGAGGACAGGTGAGGTCCCGGAGGACTAGAGGACAAACATTACACTTACATTAAAAAGGAGAACAAAGAGGACCTGGGAAATAGTAGACCAGTCAGCCCAACTTTGATACCTGAAAATGTACTGGAATAAACTATTAAACACCTAGAGGATAATAAGGTGATAAATAATAGTTAATATGGATTTCTCATGCAAAACCACCCTAATTTCCTAGAGGATGAGGGGAGCAGTAGACATGATATATCTTGATTTTTTTTTTTTTGTAAGACTTTTGTGGCGGTCCCACATGACAATCTCATAAACAAACTAGGGAAATGTCGTCTTGATTAAATTACTATAGGGTGGGTACACAAATGGTTGAAAGATCATGCTCAAAGTGTAGGTATCCATGGTTTACTGTCAATCTGGGGGAATGTATCTAGTGTGGTTTTGCAGAGGTCAGCCCCGGGTGTGCTTAGGAAGGGGTTGCAAACACTTTGGAGAGCAGGATTAGAATTCAAAATGACCGTGACATATTGGAGAATGGGTCTTGAATTTCATCTTGCTGATTTCATAAGTGCTATACCTAGGAAGGAAAAGTCAAATGCACAAGTACAAAATGAGGAATAACTGGCTAGGCAGTAATACTGCTGAAAAGGATCTGAGAGTTATAGTGGGTCTTAAAATGAATATGAGTCAATATCCTGAAGCAGTTGTGAAAAAGGCTAATATCATTCTGCGGTGTATTAACGGGGCCTTAATATGTAAGACACTGTAGGTAACTGTCCCATTCTACTTGGTGCTGGTGAGGCCTCGGCCAAGGGTAATGTGTCCAGCTTTGGGCACCACGCTTTAGGAAAGATGTGGAAAAATTGGCTCGAGTCCAGAAGAGAGCAACAAAAATAATAAAAGGTTTAGAAAACCTGACCCATGAGGAGAGGTTAAAAAGCACTGGGCGTGTCTAGCCTTGAGTAAAGCAGACTGGGGAGAGACCTGATCAGTCTTCAAGTATGTTAAGGGCTGTTATAAAGAGGATGATGATCAATTGTTCTCCATGGCCGCTGAAGGTAGGAGAAGTAGCAATGGCCTTAGTCTGCATCAAGGGAGATTTAAGTTAGACATTAGGAAAAACTTTCTAACTACTTAAATACTAGAACAGGCTTCCAAGGGAAGTTGTGGAATTCCTGTCCTGGGAGGCTTGTAAGAACAGGTTGGACAAACAGCTGTCAGGGAAGGAAGCCCTGCCTCAGCACAGGGGGCTGGACTAGCCAACCTCCTGAAATCCCTTGCACTTCTGTGTTTCTACAGTTAAGGGAATTGGCATGCAGGTGAACCGTGTCTCGCTTGTACGGGTGAAGCAGGCCCTCTGGAGACTTCTCCTAGCAGGGAGGGGCATCATCAAATTTAAGTAACTAACAGCAGCATTTCTGGGAAGCCATCAAGTTTGTGACCCTTACTCGTGTTCCTTTTAGGCCTGGTCTTTGCAGATAAGTTTTACCAGCATAGCAATGTACTGCTGTAGCTATGGCAATAAAAGCCCTAGCATAGTTCTACACAAGTTCTATTGCCAGTTCCCTGAACCGGTGTAACTCGTTTACACTGGTGTAACTGTGCACACAGGAGGGTTTGCTGGTATAACTGTACTAGCCAAATCCTCCGAGGGTCGACAAGGCCTTAGGCTGTGGCTAACTGTGAGGATATGATCTCTTTGGGTGCAGACCGTTGAGGGTTCTGTGCAGTGATGTTTGCGCTTTCCTTTCAGCTGTCCATTCCCAGTACCCAAGTGCTGGAGGAGCAAGCCCAGGAAAGTGATGACCTGACAGACAGCGAAGAGAGCGTCTACTCTGGGCTGGAGGATTCTGGAAGTGACAGCAGCACAGAGGAGGAGGCGGAGGACCAGGACAGCAATGATGAGGGGAAGCGGAAAGGCAATTCCCTCTCAAAGAAGGCACAAGTAAGTGTGAAATGTCAGAACGTGGCCGTATAATACTGGTGCCTTGTAGCTGTGCCCCAAGTTCTCTCTTAAAATGTAACTTTGCCTAGAAAGACAATTCTATGCCCAAGAAATCAGTGCTCTCCCCCCACCCTCTCCTGTCAACAGTTTATGTGAGTCACATGCCAAAGGATTTGCCAGGTAGGGAGACTCCTCCATGAGAAAGCCTCATGGCTTCAGTTTGCAGGCCTTGGTGGTAGGGGAAGAAAGGGAGGTGGTTTGTATGCATGTGACCCAGGATAATGAGACACAGCTCATGTGGATGAATTTCTTATTATTGTGGGGGCGCTTATTAAGCGTGTGGTTTATTATTCTGTGTGGTGACAACATAGGACATGCTTCTCAGATTCCTGGCTGGGATGATTTAGTTGGGATTGGACTAGATGACCTCCTGAGGTGTCTTCCAACCCTGATATTCTATGATTGTATCATTCAGCTGCCGTGCAAAAATAGCTTGAGAACCGAGGTTTGGGGAGCAGCAGTTCTGGCAGAGGAGATGTGCGTTTACTGCAGCGAGATGGTAGAGGAAGCTGGAGTGTTCCTTGCGTGTTAATAACTAAAGGACGTCTAGGTCTCCTGCCATTTCTAGAGTGAGATCCTCCACTCTCCTACACCGCCTTCCAGCTGAATGCAAATACTAACCTGGGTACAGCTCCTGTGAGCTGCTGCTGTGATTCCTGTGTCACAGATTAGGAAACTGAAGCGCAAGATCACGTCCAGAGTAAGAAAACAAGTAATTTACAATGAGCAAGTTAAAATTTTGTAACTGCCACATTTTTAAACACTAATATAGTCAGTGTTTATATAACAGTGAAACCCTGTGCACGCTAACGCCCTGAAAGAGCAGCTCTGGGACTGCCTTGCTGGCCAGGGCGGAACACAGGTCTGGTCTCTGACAGGTGCTTTGGAGGAAGGTGTAAGCACCCCACATAGGCAGCGGTGGGATAATCCTGCCTCCACATTCAGTCTCTTTCTAACTCCTTGTGGTGAGATTAGTTTAACCCCTGAAGGGTGAGGTTTAATGGCTTGTTTTCCTTGCCTTGGCTTGGCCCAAGAAGGGAAGTAATTTACAAAAAGCTCACACAGCCAGTGGCAGAGGCAGAAGTAGAACCAGGGTTCTGGCCTTGGAGCATGTCCCATGAGTAAGGCTCCATGTCCGTCATGGAAGTCACGGATTCTGCGACTTTCCACGAGCTCCGTGACTTCTGCAGAGGCCAGTGTGGCTGACCCCAGGGCTGCTCGATCAGCTCGCCTCGGGGCCAGCTGCTCAGGCTTCTCCAGGGACAGCCACGCCAGCCGCTGCTTGGGCAGCTGGCCCCGGGGACCACCTGAGCAGCAGTGCCCCGGAGGCCCCCCAGAGAAGCGGTGCCCTGGGGCCCCCCAGCTATGATTTAGTCAGGAGTATTTATAGTAAAGGTCACGGACAGGTCATGGGCTGTGAAATTTTGTTTGTTCCCCGTGACCGGACCATGACTTTTACTAAAAATACCTGTGATTAAATCGTAGCCTTACCCGTGAACCAGACTGTTCCCTGTTGTTCTTCTCCTAGACCTGTAGCTGTGTCTAGGTGCTAACCACACAAACAGCAGCTGGTGTGCAGGGGTGGAGGTGAGCAGAGTCCCTTCAGTAACTGAGGATTGCTGGGTAGGATTGTGAATTCAGCATCTGCCTGACTGAAAGCCACAGCTTGGCTCCCGGCTGGATGCAGCCCGAGTTCTTGACCTCTCCTCAGTGTTTCTGTTGCCCCTCAGCTGTGCTGGAATTTACTCCTCTTGGGTTCGACTCCACACTGGGTAGCGCTGCTGTCCTTTAGGAGCTTGTGTGGCAGGCAGCTGGGAAGCAAAGCTGTGAGGGTACTGCTTAAAGTCAACCCCAGCGTCATCCTGTGCACGGCGGCGTCTCGAGCGCCCTTTGTGCTGCCTTCTTTCCTCATCAGCACAGCCAGTGAATGGGCTGGAGTCAGAGCAGGGAACGGGCACGTCTGAGGACACATGGCCTTGCATAGGGCTCCTGGCTGTGTCCCCCCTTTCGCCTCCCTCCTGTTACGAAGCAGGAGTAACTGGGTGGCTGCAGCGGCGTTTTACCAAGGCAAGAGCTGTTTCCCCTCCCTGCCCTGCACCTCACTTCGTACTCTGTGCGTCTACGCCCACCACTGCCCTGGCGCCAGGAACAGCCCCCATTGGGCATTTTGTGGTGACTGGAGACATGGGAATAGGAGGGCCTGTCGGGGGCCTGCTTCCAGCCCGTGGGCCTGTCGGGGGCCTGCTTCTGGTATATGGGATGCCTATGCGTTGCAGGTCGGCTCATGCAGAGGGTTCTGTGGCACGGTAGGCTGGGAGTGTTGAAATCCAGTTTAAGCAGCTGAGGGGTTCCACACAAGGAAAAGCGATCAGACATGTCAGACTTGGCCGGGAATCCGATTACTTTTTGATTTCATGTTTAAAACAAAACTCCTTACCACAGTCACAGGAATTTTCCAGTGTGTGTTAAACAAGAGCCTCCTCTCCTGTCCTCTCCCCAATTCTGCAGTGAAGTCACAATACGTGATTTATCATTCGCAACCGATGTGGAACAGACAGTAAATGGTGAGAGGTCTTGCATTCCTCCAGCAGCTTGCTGATCCCCAAGCATTTTGTGGACAGAGCCCATACACGAAGATGAATGCACCCATCTGTAGAGTGGAACAGAGCAGCTGTCTAACAGCACATGACAACCTTGTGTAATTGAGGACCCTGTGTAGCATTAAGGGGCATTTAGGGAGGCAGAATTAAATCACTAATGTAGAAATTTCCTCCGGACCCTACTCCTCCAGAGGGAGACGGGCTCTTTAATAACGGCAAGAAGTTAGTAAATAAACAAACAGAGCTGGTTGTGTCCCATGCGAAGGATGCCACCTCCAGCAGCGCTGCACTTCGTAGTGACTCTGCTGGGGCACGGGTTTGGTGCCGACTCAGGAAGACTGGCCTTTCCCCCTGAAATGTCCCCTGGCCATTACCACTGGTCTAGTGTAGACAAGGAGCCAGCAACAGCCGGTATCTTAACCACAGTACCCGCTAGCCCTACTGCTAGTGCAGTTATGAGGTGGTGGTTCGGATGCTACCAGCTGGCCTACCAGAGTGCCCCTCTGTTGCTACCAGAGTTGCCTAAATTATAGCAAGGGTAGGAAACCTGAGGGGAGCAAGGCCCAAAGGAAGAGCAACACCTATCAGATTCTCCACTGCACCTCTGCATGCCTTGGTCTCTTATCCAAACACTAACCTGACCCTGCTTAGCGTAGGAGATGTGACAGGCTCCCAATACAGGGCAACGGACCGGATCTTCATGTGTATTTGCACTGAGGCTTCCCTGTGTCAGGCTGAAAATGGACTTCTGACTTTGATGCAGGAGTGGGTGTGAGGCAGAGAGCTGCAGTCAGACACAGTCTGACATAAGTGTAAAAGGAACCACAGCTTACTGGCACTGGGTAGAAAGGCTTCATTTTGTAGACGCTTTCCCAAGTTCCAAGGTTAAAATGAATATTTGAAAACGTTGGCTGGATTTGGTGCCCTGTTCTAAACCAGCCTGGTAGTTCATGACAACGGGCTGCTCACCCTTTCTGCAGTGGCTGTTGAATGCTGGCTTTTGCGAGTTGCCGGAAGAAAGCCTCATCCACCGGACCAGGGGGATGAGGTGGATGAGGCTTTCTTCCGGCAACTCGCAGAAGCTACTAGATCGCACGCCCTGGTTCTCATGGGTGACTTTAATCTTCCTGATATCTGCTGGGAGAGCAATACAGCGGTGCATAGACAATCCAGGAAGTTTTTGGAAAGCGTAGGGGACAATTTCCTGGTGCAAGTGCTAGAGGAGCCAACTAGGGGGGGAGCTTTTCTTGACCTGCTGCTCACAAACAGGGAAGAATTAGTGGGGGAAGCAAAAGTGGATGGGAATCTGGGAGGCAGTGACCATGAGTTGGTTGAGTTCAGGATCCTGACAAGAAAGGTAAGCAGCAGGATACGGACCCTGGACTTCAGGAAAGCAGACTTCGACTCCCTCAGGGAACGGATGGATAGGATCCCCTGGGGGACTAACATGAAGGGGAAAGGAGTCCAGGAGAGCTGGCTGTATTTCAAGGAATCCCTGTTGAGGTTACAGGGACAAACCATCCCGATGAGTCGAAAGAATAGTAAACATGGCAGGCGACCAGCTTGGCTTAACGGTGAAATCCTAGCGGATCTTAAGCATAAAAAAGAAGCTCACAAGAAGTGGAAGGTTGGACATATGACCAAGGAAGAGTATAAAAATATTGCTCGGGCATGTAGGAATGATATCAGGAGGGCCAAATCGCACCTGGAGCTGCAGCTAGCAAGAGATGTCAAGAGTAACAAGAAGGGTTTTTTGAGGTATGTTGGCAACGAGAAGAAAGCCAAGAAAAGTGTGGGCCCCTTACTGACTGAGGGAGGCAACCTAGTGACAGAGGATGTGGAAAAAGCTAATGTGCTCAATGCTTTTTTTGCCTCTGTCTTCACGAACAAGGACAGCTCCCAGACTGCTGTGCTGGGCATCACAACATGGGGAGTAGGTGGCCAGCCCTCTGTGGAGAAAGAGGTGGTTAGGGACTTGTGACGAAGTGGGACTGTTCTTAATGTTTCCTCTGAATAGTGTGGGGGTGCCTCAGTTTCCCCATGGCAGTTCTTAAGTATCTAGGGGGTGGGGTAAGGGTGTATGATCATTGCAGAGCCCTAGAGGGCAGGTGTGTGCAGGAGTCTGGACACAGAGAATGGCCAACACCCTGTTTCCTGGCAACTGATGGCCTGGGCCCTTCCCCCCTGCAAGGTGAGAGCTAAAGGGTTGGAGAACAAAGGAATCAGGTGACCACCTGGCCCGGGAAAGGAACAAAGCCCAGAGGAGGAGGGGCTGGAGGGGGGTTTCAGTTTGGGGCTGGCTGGGACATGGAGTGAAGTGCAGACGTGGTTGTCTGGCTC